GTACGAGACTCGAACCCGCAACCTTTGGGTTACGAGTCCGACTCTCTAACCATTAGGCCATGACGTCCCATATTTGTGACCGGTGTAATCTGTATTGTGTTTTTTCTCAGAGTAGTAACCAGACGAACATCAGTTGACGGTTCGACTCTTCATTTACTGATAAAACATCGTGTTCCATGGCTTTATGTTACATCTTCTGTTGTTTAATGAAAGTTTAATGCATCGGTCACAAAAGGAGTAATGCTGTGCAGACAGATAATCAGACAGAGGGCAGATCAAAGGCATTCTGTGTTTGTTTAAATTATAACTTTTGACAGTTGGAGTTTGAATAGTTTTGGTTCCTTTGAACATTCCGTCACAGGAAGGAAACGGAAGAGTAACAGATTAAACAAACTGCCTCTGACATTCTTTTCTAAATGTCTAAATGTCACAGATTACCACAAAATATAAACAGGACCTCAGTGAAAACAACTGTAAAAGTGTTTCATGTCCGGATTTCTTATGGAATATGATGGTAAAAGGAGTAAAGGTCTGACCTCACTATTGAGAAAACAATAAATCAGGAAGATGAAGATTCAAGATCAGGAAGAGGAGCTCCAGCTCCTTACTGACATTAGTGAAGAAACCCAGAATCCAGGAGCAACCAAGAACCACACACTGAGCCAGTGTTGAAAGACTATTTCATGTTAACTTTTTAATTTTGTATGCAACGTTGGATTTTTATCAGATAGCAGAAAGGTTACATAAGCCCTGAGAAGTTTTATTTCCTTCTTAAAAAATAAAATAAAATAAACTCACTCTTCCCTGTTGTAGCCTTCAGGTCCCAGCATAACGCAACCACGTATCCAATCCCGCACAGGACTCCACTTATAAAGGGCAAAGGTCAACAGAGCCAAACTGATGAACACCAATCCCACGATCACACACACCAAAATCACCAGATGTGAGTCGCTCTGAGAAAACATGTGAGAGAACATGAGTGCCAAATCTGTGCTGTTCTTAGTGTTCACTAGAAATGTTGATCATCAACTGTAGATTGAATTTAAATTATGCTAGTGCGTTCAATGCTTCAATATTTTGAGAAGGTTTGACTTGTTCTCTTTCTTACCTCTGGTGGGCGGCTGGTTTGCACAAGAGCGAATGTCGACAGATGAACACAGGAACACACAGTGCAGCTGCTGTTGGTCTTTAAAACAGAACAACCATCTACAATCCACTCGCTGATATTCCAGTACACACAGAACAGAGAACCGCTGGGATCAAACTCCTGCAAAAACAAGAAGAAAATATCAGAACACTGAATATTAGATGTTTTCAGATGTTCATCAGTGCTCTGATAAAACAAAAGCACATTTGAGTCTCTCACTCTGATGTGTTTGAGGGTGAAGTTGACTGGTTTGGTGAGTTTAGTGTTGGTGGTTTTGGGAAGAGTAGCTGAGATCACAGTGGACATCATGGTTTTAACCGTGTCTTTTGAAGAGTAATTAATCACCTTGTTTTCCTTTTAGAATGAATCAAAGTCTTTAGAAATAAGAAATGCATTTACTGCTAGTATGACGCAAACAGGACCCAGAAAACTCCAGATAAAACCTTTATCCATTTTAATCCAGCATCTGTTGGAAAAGGCATTTAAAAAAGTGACTTTGAAATACATAAAATTGTATCTATCAGAGAGCAGCATTGTTTCAAAAGATCTGTGAGCTGACAGTCCAACTAAAATCTTTATTTCATCTAGTCAATTTTTAAACATCCCAACTCACTCTTTGCTGCCGTAGCCTTCAGGAGCCAGACCGACAGACACACACACCACAACCAGAGCAACCAGATATCCAATCACACACAGGAATCCACTGCTAAGCACCTCCCTCTTTTTGGAGCTGATCTGTGATAGGTTCTTCACACAGATGAAGAGCAGCACAGCTTCAATGAACATCCACACAAAGCCGGAGAGAAAGAGGAAGTGCAGAAGGCCTGAGATCACGGCACACAACACCTGGAGACCATGAGAGACGGTTATGATGATTCTCAGTGAGGCTGTGCTGAGCTGTAGGGCTCCTTCATCATTCTCACCTGCTGACGCCGTATGAGGCTCAGGAACTGCTGTGTGAGCAGAAACAGAAGGTGAGCCAACAGAAGACTGATGCAGATGTTGATTCGAGCCACATTATTCACTCCAGGACTCCACTGACAAAGGGCAAAGGTCAACAGGGCCAAACTGAAGAACACCAGCCCCACGATCACACACACCAAATTCAACAGCTCCATCAGTGAGTCGCTCTGAGAAAACATGAGAGAACATGAGTGCCAAATCTGTGCTTTTCTTCAATGTTCACTAGAAGTATTCTGTACCTCTGACTGACGGCTGGTTTGCATGATGAGAGCGAATGTCGACAGATGATCACAGGAACACACAGTGCAGCTGCTGTTGGTCTTTAAAACAGAACAACCATCTACAATCCACTCGCTGATATTCCAGTACACACAGAACAGAGAACCGCTGGGATCAAACTCCTGCAAAAACAAGAAGAAAATATTAAAACACTGAATATTCAATTTTTTCAGATGTTCATCAGTGCTCTGATAAAACAAAAGCACATTTGAGTCTCTCACTCTGATGTGTTTGAGGGTGAAGTTGACTGGTTTGGTGAGTTTAGTGTTGGTGGTTTTGGGAAGAGTAGCTGAGATCACAGTGGACATCATGGTTTTAACCTTGTCTTTTGATGTGTTGAAGAAGTCTGGCTTCAGTAGATACTCCATCGTGTTGTAGCTCATGAAAGCCACAGCAGCTGATCCTGTGAGACAGAAACAGAAACTACGGTATATGCAATACTATGTAAAACAATAAAAAAAAGTAAACATGGTTTAGTGGTAAAGGTATGATTCTCTATTTATGATATTTTTTTTTCCACACTGAAACATTTGACATACTTTCATGGTTGTTCCTGGCGATCCCAATGAGATCGATGTCCACAGAAGAATTTGTCGTGTCGAGTCGAGGGATTTTCTCTAAGGTGACCTGTGGTCCAACCATGAAGACTTCTATCTCTGATTAAACACAAGAGCAAAACCCTGTAATTGATTACCACAATAAACTGCACTGACTTTCTGTTTTTCTCCTTTGAGTGTTTGTTAAAGGTCTTGTGAATGTTGATTGTTCTTATGCTCAAAGCAGCAGATATTCACATAAAAACCCTGAGATCTCCATAAACTTCACTGTAAGTGAACCTGTGTTTAATGTTGCATTTTCGTTTCTCATGGCTTTTCAGGGTGAGGGTTTTTCAAGACATTTCTACCTAATGATGGATGAAATAGCACCAAAATACTGACCTTTGACATCAACACGAAAATATACAGGCAGTGTTTTCTGTTAAAACATTTGTAACTCTACACAATTATAGAGTTACTGTATCTGCATTTATCATTTTTTGCTGTCTGACCCACCGCTGCTCAGGGGTTTTCAAACCTGTCCTGGAGGACCCCCAGCCCTGCACATTTTGTATGTCTCTCTTATCCGACACACCCACTTCAGTTCTTGCAGTCTCTGCTAACGAGCTGATGGGTTTAATCAGGTGTGTTAGATGAGGGAGACATACAAACAGGACTGGAGGTCCTCCAGGACAGGTTTGAAAACCCCTGCTCTAGACCATAAAACGCCACTGACATCAAATCTGTGTTTCATCATCAATAATAATTGTGTCTCCACTTACCTACAGCAGCAAAAGTAAAACTGACACTGTCACTTGTGTCTGTCTGCTTCACCAATGTAGAAATGAGTTTCTCGCTGGCTTTTAACACACTGTTTCCATAAGAGGCTAGTTCAGCTGGGTTTACTGATGATGACTCTAAAATCTTCTCTGAAGTGTTGAAGACCACAGTCAAAATGCTCATCACAGTCTATTGATCAGATAAATAGTTTATGTACATGTAAATATCAAGAGAGCCATTGAAACAGCACTGCTATGTTAATCATCTATTATATTGATTTGATTCAATTATTTATTGTTATTTATCTTGAAGACTTACAGTCACAGGGAGCTCTTGAGCTGCACTGTTCTCGATCTGCTCAAGAAGATTTTGAAGACATCCTTCTGAGGTCTGACTCTGAAATCACAATTGAGCTTTACAAATAAAACTGAAAGACTCATAACAAAAAACAAAAACAAAAAAAAATTCAGCTTACCCTGCATTGATCCGGCAGTGCGATAATCAGATCTGAAATGAGGGAATTCATCAATACAACATGAATACAGTAAAATCAAACTCCACATTCAGGTTTAGAAACATGCTCACCTGCAATAGTTGTGAAGATGTTAGTCTCACAGAAACAGGAGGACAAAGTGCTACTGTAGCATGTACAGGTGTCCTTATTACCAAAGCAGTCACAGTTATTACCCCAGCATTCATATTGGTTTTGGTTTCTATATTTCAAGTAGAAGAAATGATTCATTCTTGTGTCGCAGTAGATGCGGTACTGAGCACCAGTGCAGATGTATATGTCATTATAAAGCCCACAGTCATAGACTGGACTAATAGCTGTAGTGAGAGCAGTGATATTTCCATAAGTATTACAGAAGCAGGAGGACAAAGTGCTACTGTAGCATGTACAGGTGTCCTTATTACCAAAGCAGTAACAGTTATTACCCCAACATTCATATTGGTTTTGGTTTCTATATATCCAGTAGTAGAAATAATGCATTCTTGTATTGCAGAACATGCGGTACTGAGCACCAGTGCAGATGTACGTGTCGTTATGAAGCCCACAGTCATAAACTGGACTAACTGCTGCAGGAATAGTGATGCTACTGCTGTTATTTGTACAGAAGCAGGAGGATGAAGTGCTACTGTAGCATGTACAGGTGTCCTTATTACCAAAGCAGTCACAGTTATTACCCCAGCATTCATATTGGTTTTGGTTTCTATATTTCAAGTAGAAGAAATGATTCATTCTTGTGTCGCAGTAGATGCGGTACTGAGCACCAGTGCAGATGTATATGTCATTATAAAGCCCACAGTCATAGACTGGACTAATAGCTGTAGTGAGAGCAGTGATATTTCCATAAGTATTACAGAAGCAGGAGGACAAAGTGCTACTGTAGCATGTACAGGTGTCCTTATTACCAAAGCAGTAACAGTTATTACCCCAGCATTCATATTCATATTGGTTTTGGTTTCTATATTTCCAGTAGTAGAAATTATGCATTCTTGTGTCGCAGTACATGTGGTACTGAGCACCAGTGCAGATATAAGTGTCGTTATAAAGCCCACAGTCATAAACTGGACTAACTGCTGCAGGAATAGTGATGCTACTGCTGTAATTTGTACAGAAGCAGGAGGATGAAGTGCTACTGTAGCATGTACAGGTGTCCTTATTACCAAAGCAGTCACAGTTATTATTTAAACAGTAGTAATGGTATCTATCATAATCGAAATCATGTACACTTGTGTTGCAATACATGTGGTACTGAGCACCAGTGCAGATGTACAGGTCATTATAACGTGCACAGTCATAGACTGGACTAACTGCTATAGTGAGAGCAGTGATATTGCCATAAGTCTTACAGAAGCAGGAGGACAAAGTGCTAGTAGAGCATGTACAGGTGTCCCTATTACCAAAGCAGTCACAGTCATTATTCACACACAGGTACTGGTATTTGTACTGAGATCTCTGGTAGGAGAAGTCATGCATATGTGTGTTGCAGTACATGCGATACTGAGCACCAGTGCAGATGTACATATCATTAAGACGCACACAGTCAGGGTCTGTAACTGAACTAACTGCTGTAGTGAGAGCAATGCTATTGTTGTAAGTCTCACAGAAGCAGGAGGACAAAGTGCTACTGTAGCATGTACAGGTGTCCTTATTTCCATGGCAGTAACAGTTATTACTAATGCAATGGTATTGGTTTTTGCTCTGATACCTCAAAAAGTACAAATTATGCATTCTTGTGTTGCAGTACATGTGGTACTGAGCACCAGTGCAGATGTACGTGTCGTTATAAAGCAGACAGTCAGGGATTGTGACTGGATTGCGTAATGAAGAGATAGTGATATTATAGCCATAATTTGTACAGAAGCAGGATGAAGTATGACTGTAGCACCAACAGGAGTCCTTATTAAAATGGCAGTAACAGTTATTACTCCAGCATTCGTACAGGTATTGGTTTTGGTACTGATGTCTCCAGAAGCTAAAATAATGCACCGTTGTGTTGCAGTACATGTGGTACTGAGCACCAATGCAGATGTACGTGTCATTCTTAAGCTCACAGTCCAAGACAGGTCTAACTGCTGTAGGGACTATGATGTTATTGCTAAATATATCACAGAAACAGGACGAAGTATTATAGTAGCATGCACATGTGTCATTATTACCAACACAGATACAGTCATTACTCATGCAGTGGTATTGGTGTTGGTCTTGGTCTCTCTGGTAGTAGAAATGATGCGTTCTTGTGTTGCAGTACATTTGATACTGAGAACCGCTGCAGATGTACGTTTCATTATAAAGCACACAGCCATAAGCTGGACTAACTGCTGCTCTTGGTTCAGCAGCAGTGGTGGATATGAAACCTGACGATGAGAAAGATGGGATCAAAGTCAGAAAACACAAATACCAAACCAGGTGAATTTCCAGCATGTTTAGCACATTTAAAATAGCGTGAAACACATGAGTTTACACTGTTTTACATGCATTTCTCAATACTGAGTTTTGTCTTTCAACAGTTAGCAAAAATGCAGGTTCTGTGGACTACACTGTTCATGTGTTTTGATATTTTGTATCAATCCTTTAAAATGCATTAAATTATTGCTAACTATTTCATTTAGACGTGTATGCATTTGGAAGTGAGATTAACTGGTCTGTTTATTTGCATCATTATACTGGTTTTAAGAGTTTTACAATGACTAAGTACTAAGAAATAAATGTAACCAATGGTATAAAAAATGTTATAAAGTTCACAGGGTCAACAGACCCATGTGTTTGAATAAAACTATCAACTTGCACTCACACAGGGTTAAAGAGATGACAGTCAACAGTGACCATACACCACCTGGCATAAAAAAAGACACATTTTAAAATGTTGTTTTTCTACTATGATAATTTATTCACATTACACGCAAATATTAAATGTTTTTCAAAGCAGATCTTTTGGACTGACATGTGCACCAAAAATGCTATTATTTTCAATAATCAGAGTAAGGACTTAATCACAATAAGACACAAGCAAGCTCTTTACTCAACCTAAAAGTTGACTGTTTACTATTGTCCTCTTTTTAGAGCTGCTCTACAGCAGAATTTAATTTTGTTTTATTAACACACACTATTTTCATGATAAAGTTGCTTTGACACAATCTGTATTGTACAATCTATATTGTACCTTATTTACACACGACACTGCTCCACTGATCATATACTGGTTACTCCACTGCACACCTCGGATCACTTCCTTCTCACTCTTAACCTCAACATGGTTCCTGACACAACACATACCCCTCCACATGTCATCTTTCGACATAAGCTACACTCACTCTCACCCTCCCGGCTATCTGCTATGGTTTCATCTTCACTTCCT